TAGTTAAGTCAAGCAAGCAGCTTACTTATTTTATTCCATTTTCTAAATATTAATCTCTTTTTCTTTAACTTAGCACTTAACTTTCAACTTTAAGCTCAATTACCACCTTATCGTCTCAAGTTTAAATACTTCTGTTGGAGTTATAACTTGCAGTACACATGCTGAAACGTGCAAGACATCACATCACCTTCCGAGATAGTTTAAACCAACATTAAGCATATAAGAAACATGGCCCCTCACCTATACTATAAGGCTATGTCAAGTATCACAAGAATAGAACAAGCATATGTGTAATACAGTTTGTTACATTACTACCAAAATATGCCAACATCTAGGGATTCTAACTTCGAAACGCTGCCCTAATCGAAGTTTCTAACAAGGAAAACTCTTCACTCTCCCCACAATTTTATACCCATTTTTGGTCTTATTCATCACATTCTTACGCCCAAAACATTGTAGAAGTGTTTTGAAATGTAAGGTAAACCCGTATCTTCAGCAATTTCAACAATCAAAGCAAAATCTGCAAAAAAAACAAATCAACCCAAACTCTATTCTACTCAATCAATTCCTAGCATATAATAGTCATTATGTGTGGAATGAAGTAAGGAGAGTAAATAAAGCAATCATTATCTTAGTCTGAATGTTCGGAACGTATTTTTTAGGAGAGAAAAAGTGAGTTTGAGAGAGTGAATGAGAGAAATGGGAGACAAACCCATTATTCTTCCTCTTGTGTTATTTTTTAATCGCATCGAGTTGCTATAGAAGTTGGGAAGTCGTTATAGGATACATCTATAGCGGCATTATACCATTATAGCGGGATAAAAATGTGTGGGTGGGAGAAATTATTTGTCTTTGCTTGTTTGAATTTCGTAACCCAATATACTTGAGTACATAGGATGTTATGATCTTCTATGGTTCGCGTAGGGTTTTATTCTTCTTGACATTTTCAAAAACTATGTGATGATGTTTCCTAACTGGTTTGTTTTTTCTTCTGTCATGGTAATAGTTTGGGGATGAATAATGGATGAATTGGTATCTATTATAACGACTGATCTATCGTTATTCAAAAGTCCCCTTGTGCAGAGTCTTGAAATTTTTCATAATTCATGGTCAATTTAAGATTGGGGTGACATGAGAGATTTAAAATTTTGAAATTGATCTAGGTTGACGTCATCCCACCATAGCAGGAGTATTCCCGCTATGGCGGCGCCTCTATAGAAATTCAGTGATGGCATACTCATAGAAGGGTAAAATCTTTTAATTTGCATCCTCCTCTATTGTGGTAAAACAGACGAGGGTTACTCCAAAGCCCTCCTAAGCCACTTCAAGCTTAGGAACAGTGGAGAGGAAGGATTTCAGTGCAAACAAGGTCAAAACCTATGAAATTTTGGTTTACATTTGCCAAGATTCGCCCCTGATGGAGCTAGAAGCTTATGTTCTGAGTTCTTCAGCAACTTCTTGGCGTCCAGGTAGGCTAGAATTTTAACGGATTAGTTAGACTTATATTTACTTATATATAATATCTTGTAGATTATGGAGAGATTTTATGCATAGGTGATCGAAATAATGCTATCAAAGATACTTCATCCAATACTAAGTGTTAACGATCACTATGTAGTAATATAACCCAACTAAGTGGGTTGGGTTCGAGTCCCAAGGGAGTGGTACGTAGATGAGAATTAATAGGTAAGTAAGAATATGCTCAAGTCAATCATAGCTAAGAACATTTACGAATAAAAATATTATTCAAGTCTAGGGTGACACAAGTGTCAAATATCAGGGGGGTTTGTTTGTATTATCAACTAAAACAACAAATAATACGAGAATACGAATATGAAGACGGGTTCTTGGGATGTGATTGGATTATGGGCTAAGGTAAACAATCGGGTAATTGAAATTAATAGTAAATAGTTGTAAATCGGTGAATAAGCTAGACTTTAGAAGGGATAAACTTTCTCTCAAACAATTTATCCCGAATCAAATTGGTTTCTCTCGAACACCAATAAGCAGCAATTAAGACCAGCCTTCGCCTTAGTCCATTCATTCTCTTGAGCTGAATGTGTGGAAAAGGGTTTAGGATTCACTCTCTCGAGCTGAATTGATGACAACCGAATACCCACAGACCATCGATTCAGTAATTTTTGTTTTAAAACCTCTCTTCAACAAGCCAAAAACACAATGTTAAGATTGTATTTGCAACTACAACCCCATTAAATTCAACCACAATTACTGAACGAAATCACCTTTATACAGGAAATAAACTATCAATTAACAATACCCAGCAGTTAAATCAACCCATTATCATATAATCACACCCCAAGAATTGGGGTTTTACCTGAACATAGTAAAAAGGTAAAAATCGTTACCAAGTTGTGTTTCCATCAACTGGTAGGATTGATATAGTCTTTACAAAGGTCTAAGATGAAAAATCTTCAACACCCACATCCAATTTCATAGAAATGGAAATCTTCAAATCTTCAAAGCTAAGGAAAAGTGTCTCCAAAAACACAGTTGTAAGTGCTAGACTTGAAAACTGAATAATAACACTGATAAAAACTGAATTGCCTACTAAACTAAGAATTTAAAAACGTATTTATAGTTGCCTAAAAATGTGCTGCAAAGGACCATTTGGTGATGTTAGTCAGGATTGCCGATCCACTCGACGATCCGCCTTTTGGTCATTTTCATCGCCTTTCTGCTTTGACCTTTAGCATCTTCAAGTTCTATAACTTTGGGCGATGAAGCACTGCTTCGTGGAACCATTCGGTGACTCACCGACTGCTCCTTTCTATTATTGACTTGATTTTCTCCTTCAGGGCTTGGCACTGGAACATTAGGCGACGCCAAGGCCTTTCGGTGACTCACCCAATGGTTTAGGCGATCCTCAGGCCTTCTTTTCTTCATTTTTCAGTTGCCTTGTTTCTCTTTGCTTATTAGTGTCCATGCTTTGTTCCTCAATCCAAATACCTAAAATTCAAGGATTTATATCAGTTATTGGCACAAAATATGCATTTGAGGACACTAAATCTATTAAAATGAAGCCCTAAATGAGTCCAAATTGTGGACTCATCAATAGGCCTACGGGCACAGAGTTTGGATGGTTGAATGTGTAGTTAGTTATGGGTTAGGCTAATGATGGACTTGGTTAGTTGATGTTTACTTTGTTATAATTTCTAGATGGTATCCCAAGGAAGATGACTATGGGTAAAATAGGTTATGAGCAGGGATCGTTTAGGAAGGAATCCTTTGGGTAGGTGGTGGTTGTTTGTTTCCCATTTATGTTATATGTGCTTGATAACTGCTTCGTTAGTATTGCATGCATCATATATGATTAAGGAAATGGAAGAAGTTTAATTTTAAGCTGTTAATTATTGTCAATCACATGCAATTAGTGTGTTTACTTGGGTGTACAATTGTGATTTCAATTCATTGTTATTGTTATTGGGTTGTGTGATTGTTGGCTTACTCGAGTACCTTTCTTGGCATAGGATATCCCACGGTTGACTCGAGTACAACGCCTAGTACATACTAACAGTTAGCTAGTTAGCTATGGTACTGATAATGCTCAAACTACCCTCTAAAACCAATTTAAAGAGTAAGTGATAGTTGTCAATAAAAATACTCAACTAAGAGTTAGGGTCGATCCCACATGGAATGGTATAACGATAAGAATTCAACGAAGAAATCAAGAATGTGAACTTGTCCATTGTAGTAGGTTAGGAAAAATGGGTGGATAATTCCACAAAATTTACGAAAAGAGTTTGCATTATCAAAACTAATAAATAAACTAAAAGTTCAGAAATTCGAATAATTAACAAGTAATCTAGGGGTGTAGGGATTAGAATCGATGTCACATAGAGGTACTTGTGTTGCTCAATAGTGCTAAGTATTCATGGATAGGTTTGGTCATGTTCAATGCCACTAATCTTTTTTAGATCTCAAAGCATCAATTCATAGAATCTCCTTTCGGTCTCATCTATGTCAGGGGCGGACCCACGTAGTCAATTTTGGGTGCTCGAGCACCCATTGACTCCGGAAAAAAATTTGTATATATATATAGAAAATATGATAAGTACGTTATTAAATAAAAATAAGCATCCATAGAACACTAGCAGTCGTGGGTGCGCTGGTTAACACTTGGAAATATAAGGTGCACGAAGCATGAGGGCGAGGGTTCGAATCCTGTCAGCCCCATTCTTTTTTTTTTTTACTTTTTCCAGCGAATTTTGCACCTTTTTTTTTACTTTTCCATTTTTTAATTAAGGGCTTATTTTACTCCGAATTTTGTACTTGTTTTGACTTTTCCTATTCTTAATTAGTTTAGGGTGACTAACCTTTTCTTTCTTTTTTATTTTTAACCTTTTCCACTACCCACTTTTATGGGATTTTATTTTTTTAACAAAAAGAGGAAATCATTCTTCTTCTTCTTCTTGTTTCAAAGAGAAAGAAGCCAGCCCAACAACAAACTTCAAGCTTTTTTCTTTTCAAAATCAAAATACAAAAGCAAGGTAATAAGATTTGATGTTTGATTAAAGTTAGATAATGAAAAAAAAGGGTTAGGGAAATTAGGTTTTGAGATTTTCATTGCTTATGGCTAGTACTCTTTAAGTCTTAATTCTTAAAATATATTCCACATACTTTTTTTTGTTACTTGATAAATTGATTTAGACTTTAGAGTCTTACATATTTAGTGTTTTGTGATTTAAAATATTTTTTTTGAATACTTTTGAAATAAATTTTTTTCTTACCAACTTACTTGATTCAAAAATTAAATTTTAGGATGTATACAAATAACAAATTGTGCAATTGAAAATTTTGTGCTCATTGACTCATATATTGCTAATTATTGCTTGTGGTGTTGAAAGATCAAATAGATATATTAATTGTTGTTTGGGTTGTTGATAGAAAGTTATAGATTTCAATAAAAATTAATTGAATTATGTGAATTAATTCTATGATAAAATTGTTTTTTTTGCAGAAATTTATCTTTGTAAATTGAGATGGATAAGTATGTCACAAGATCGAAAATTGGGCATCCAAGTTCTAGCTCCACTCATCCATCTACCGCTTCAACCATAGCTCCGAAAATTCAAAGGAAAACATTTATTTCAGATGTTGATTTAGAATCTCTTGAAGCTGATCCGGGACTTAGAAAGCCCATTGCAGAATATAATCCTAATATACGTGATGATATTAGGAGATATTATATTCTTAAAAAGCCTTGCCAACCTAAGGATCATAAATTTCCTAAAACTAAGTTTGGGAAGGAAATGCGGCAATTTTTTCCTGATTGGTTTAATGGTCGTAAGTGGTTGGAGTATAGCATAACAAAAGATGTTGCATTTTGTTTGTGTTGCTATTTGTTTAAAAATGAATGTGAAAGTCGTGGATATGTGGTTGATGATGCTTTAACAAAGACTGGCTATAGAGCTTGGAACAAAGCTACTGAAAGATTTAGAGCTCATGTTGGAGATATAAATAGCATCCATAACAAGTGTTTCAACAAGATGCTTGATTTGATGAATCAATCACAATCAATACGCACTTCCTTTAATAAGAAGTCCAAGAAAGAAAAAAGTGAGTCTCGGCGTCGCTTGAGTGCTTCAGTTGATGTGACAAGATTTCTCTTGAAATTAGAATTATCATTCCGTGGACATGATGAGAGTCGATCTTCTTCAAATAGAGGTATTTTTCTTGAACTTTTGCAATGGTATGGAGATATTAATGAAGATGTTGGAAGCATTATTTTAGAAAAAGCTCCAAAAAATGAAATGATGTATTCTCCAAGTATTCAAAAGGATATTGTTGATTCTTGTGCTAAGGAAACAATCAAATCTATTCTTGAAGATTTAGATGGGGATTATTTTGGGATACTAGTCGATGAATCAAAGGATGTATCACACAAGGAGAAAATGGAACTTGTTTTGAGATATGTTAACAAAGAAGGAGAAGTAATAGAACGATTTGTTGGTATTATTCATGTTAGTGATACATTTGCTTGTTCATTAAAGGAAGCAATATACTCTTTTCTTTCAGATCACTCATTAAGTCCATCCCAAATACGTGGGCAAGGTTATGATGGAGCTAGCAATATGCAAGGACATCTAAATGGTCTTAAAACTTTGATTTTAAATGAGACTCCATCAGCATATTGCATTCATTGTTTTACCCACCAATTGCAACTAACACTAGTGGCTCTTGCAAAGAAGGATTCAAATGTAGATGACTTTTTTTGCTTAGTTACTAATGTGTTAAATATTGTTGGAGCATCTTTTAAGCGCAGGGATTTACTTTGAAAACACCAAGATGAACAGTTAGAGGAGTTGCTCATATCAGGGGAAGTGCATACTGGGCGAGGATTAAATCAAGAACGTGGGCTTCAGCGGCCAGGTGATACTCGTTGGGGTTCTCATTGTAGAACATTAGATAATCTTATTGTTCTATTTCCATCAGTTATTCATGTGCTTGAATTTACTCGATGCGAGTGTCCAAACTATACTAATAGACTTCTTGCTAAAACTCTTGTGGATACGATTAAGAAATTTGATTTTGCCTTTATGCTGCACTTGATGTGGAAAGTTCTTATGATGACAAATGAATTGAACTTCTCATTACAAATGATGGATCAAGATATTGTCAATGCTATGGGATTTCTTGCTCTTACAAAGCAAAGATTACAAAATATGAGGGATAATGAATTCGAATCATTAATGGATGATGTCTCTTCTTTTTGTGATAAACATGATATAGTCATTCCGGAGATGGATGCTAGCTACTTTCCTGGGAAGTCAAAGTGTAAAGCTCTTGATGTTACATATTCTCATCATTTGCGTGTTGAAATATTTTATGTTGTTATTGATTTGCATCTTCAAGAGCTTAATAATCGTTTTGATGTTGTGAGTACTGACTTACTTCTCGGTATGGCTAGTTTGAATCCAGTTAATTCATTTGGTAGTTTTGATAAGGGCAAGATAATGAGGTTGGCTGAATATTATATGAATGAGTTTGACAGCAACAAGCTTCGGGATCTCAGTTTTCAGCTTGATAGCTTTATAGTTTATGTCCGTGGTTCTGACAAGAGGTTCCTCAACTTGAAGGGAATTAGTGACCTTGCTAAAGAATTGGTCAAGTCAGATTGGCATCAAATTTGGCCACTTGTTTATTTGCTTATCAAGTTGACTCTCATTCTTCCCGTTGCTACTGCTTCTGTGGAACGAGCTCTCTCATCCATAAAGTACATTAAAAATGAACTTCGCAATAGTATTGGTGATGAATTTTTGAATGGTTGTTTAGTTTGCTATGTAGAGCGTAAGATATTCGCAAATGTAAGCAATGATGCTATTATTTATCGTTTTCAACATATGAAAAGTCGTCGAGCACAATTATAACTTTAAGATTAGAAGTCTCTTTTTGTAATGATAATATTACTAGTAGGTCATTGTGACTAATAACTAGTGGTTGTTTTTTATGATGATAATATTAATCGTTGTTTTATTTTTTTTACTTTTTTTTATTAAAGAGTTTGAGTTAGTATACGTGTACTTTTTTTTACTAAAGAGTTTGAGTTAGTATACGCTTGCACTGTGTGATTGCTAACATGTTTATGTTAAAGAAAGTGAGTACCCACAACCTTTAAATCTTGGATCCGCCACTGATCTATGTGAATAACAACCGATTATCTTAGATATCTCTATTTCAAGCAGATTTAAGAGAAAATGGATTTGACCCGTAATCTCTTTTTCAACTAAACTATAGATATCAAACCTATATTTCATTTATCAAACAAATTACCCACTTCAATCAATCTCTTTCGAGCATCAACCAGAAATCAAAAATAGGATTAAGTTTGAAACCTTAACCCATAAGTTAACATCAAGCTTAGTAGCCCAAATTCATGGATGTACAACAATAAAATAGAGAAAAATATAATACCCAATACTTTAAATAAACACCCAACCACATAATTTGTCACGACCTGAGGGTACAACCCGGATGCAACACGGTGTACTCGACCCCGAAGGGGTCTTATACAAGCCTCATAGCATTCTTGAACATAAGAACATAGGAAAATAGAGAAGAATTAAAAACTTTCATTTGCAATCGAAGACATATTCATTAAAAAGTAAGCAGAAGACTTTCTAGACTTTGTCTCAAACCATCTAATACTTTGGATACAACTTTGGGGATAAGCCCATACAAAGACTATAAAACATACAATGAAAGACATAAATGGAACATAATAGATTTTGTCCTCGAAACTATGAGGACTCACCAAGTCTTCATCTCCAAGCTTCTTAGAAACCTATTCCCCAAGCATAGAACACCAATATCTCCAAACCCTACACTTTAGTAAGAAAAGTGGGAGAATGGGGCTATCACAATTAAGTAGTAAGTATGATAGCCATGCAAAAACATGCTTAAAATGGATATTTATTTGAAAGTCATGTTTTTATGCCATTTTGGTAAAACTCCATGAATATGAGTAAAAGAGGCATAATATAAGTCACAATCAACATTCAAGTCATACTTTCACATTTGAAGATAATTAACATAAAACCATTACCTTCACATTAGCCTTCACCTCAAGTAACCCACAAGCTATACCTTGTGCAATGTATGGGTAGCGTCCCATAACACCACCCACACTAAGGTACCACCTTAAGGTAACCAAAAGTGAACATACCATTCATTATTTCCACCTTTACACAATAATGCATATGAGAGACATAAACATTACATGAGTCACATCATCACATTAAGACCAACATCTAAGACAACTCTAAGTTACACATGTGAAATGTGCAAGTAGCATCCCATACTATTACTCACACTAAGTACTCCTTTGAAGTCACCATAGACAAGGTACATTCACATACAATAAGTCATGACAAGGAAGTAACTCCTAATACAATCCAAGTATAGCATGCATCATCTCAATTAAGCATAAGTCACAATCTTTATTAACTTCATTACATTAAGAGCACCTTCATTCATTAGACATTAGATCAACATTCTTCATTAGAATCATCAAAAGAGCCAATTCATTTAATTTAACATTATAAAGGAACACACCATGACTCCACTCAAAGCCTACTTGTGCAATGCATAGATGGCATCCCAAACCACCACCCACACTAAGTAGTGTATCCTTGAGAATCCATAGTTCATTAACATTATTGTGGAGGTAAGCCTTAACTAACATAGACCATGTGAGCTTGACATGGAATCACGATGTCACCCTCACCGGATAAAGGGATTCCTATTTGCCTAAGGTAGGACCATCGTTTTTATTATTTAAGTGGATCCACTAGCTACACCTATGTGGGCACATAGTTATGGGATAGGAAGATTGCTACTAGATACCCCGCCTCAACTCACGTGAGGGCATCCATCTCAAGAGATTGTTACTAGAAACCCCACCTCAGCTCACGTGAGGGCTTCCATCTCATTACAAATCCACTCGATGCTTGGCATTATTCCCCACGGAGTACATGACATTTATAACATTCGTTCATTATGGGATAAGATATTGTTACTAGATAACCCACCTCAACTCACGTGAGGGCATCCATATCAAACCCAACATTCATTAAAATGGGATATAGGGATTGTTACTAGATATCCCGCCTCAACTCATGTGAGGGCATCCATCCCAACCCAACATTCATTCATTGGAAAGCTCCTAAATTCAAATATGAGAATAGCCTTTCACTTAAGAATCCCCTTATTGTGAGAAAGTCCTTTCACAACAAGTCATTATCATTCATTAGAGTACAATTGAGAATAGCCTTTTAATTAACCCATCATCATTAACATTATCATAGAAACTTCAGTAATTATTCATTCATAGTGTGTGTATGTGAGAATAACCTTTCACATATCATCATCATTCATACAATAGCCTTCTAAAGCATGTTCATAATATATTCATTTAGATCACACACATACTTCATATCATAATCATACATAGTAATTAAACACCTCCACCTCAAGTGGATCAGTAGTTCAAGCACAATTCTACTTTAACATGTAAATTAGCCATAACTTCCCCTTTCAAGGTCATGATCATAAGTCACCAACAAACCTTCAATTTATCATAATTAATACAGACATAATGATACAATTCAATAACCCAAAGCAATTTAGACAATTTCCTTACATAGGCATTCATAATCATCAAACACACTTCATAAAGGTACAATTTAGGAATTGAGAGAATTCATGGGTTCATAGAGTATTTTCATCATAAATCATCAATTTAAACACTAAAACAATCATAATTTGACATTAGAAATCTCTTGAAATAGTTTGAAGAAAGAACCCATGAGATTGAGTAAAACCCTAGGATTTTGATAACTTGAAATTACCTTTGAACTGGCTCCTTGAATGAAAAGTTAGACAAGAATGAAGACTACCATACCTTGCTATTGATTACCCACGAAATTTGAGGAAGAAAGACCTTGAATCCACAAACCTTATCTTCAATGGCTACCTTCTTCTTCCTTTAGTTTAGAGAGAGAATTCTGGGACGGAAAAGAACATTGGGATTTTGATTTGGGTGTTTTGAATAAAGGAGTAAATGAAGTGTTTTAATACTTGAAACTATTTATATTTATGATATAAACCATTTAAAATCAACCCCACATAATAAAACATTAAAACAAAATTACTTAAAAACCCCTAACTTGGGCAGCCCCATCAGGGACCAAGTCCACTTCGACGGTCCGTGAAAAGGGACCACGTCCGTGGTGGTGCCCGTGGTCCTCTAGGCAGTGTGATCCCTTGCCTTTCCAAGCCCCAAGATGCTAAGGCATCTTCACTGCCACTTCTGCGGGCCGTGGTCAAAACCACTGACCGTGGAGTGGTCCGTGAAGTTTGGGCAGTAGCTTGGCCAAAGTGCCTTGCCTCCCATGCCACCAAGTGACCTTCACGGCCACTTCTACGGACCGTGGTCAAGGCCACTGACCATGAAGTGGTCTGTGGACTTGGGACAGTGCTTGGCCAAGGTTAGGCAAGCCTTGGTCTTTGGCTTAGGCCTTGCCCCCTTGGCCTAGCACTTTCCCTTGCAACCCTTAACCAATATTAAAAAGGGTCTTTCAACTACGGAGTCTATCATGTACCTTGACGTTGACTCACTAAGCTCCATCAAACAAGGCTCGGGACAATATTACACAACATGAAACCTCATTACAACCTCAACACAAAGTCGTTTGGCTCTAGTTTCAGTTATTCATTTTACGGGTTGTTACATTATCCCTCACTTAGGAACATTCGTCCTTGAATGACACTTTTAAACACATTAAAGGGGTTAACGACTCAAGACTAGCAGCCCATCAATCATAACATATCAATATAACGCATAAACCATAGGAGGAAACATCAACTCCACATCCATAAACTCAATGCAATAAAAAGAAGTAGGAAATACATCCACCAACTCATTATGCACCAAAACATCTCATTTCTCATTTCATTGGAGGAACTTCCTTCTCCAAATCTCATCATGCTCATCATAACATCATTAGGTAATTATGCAACTCTTTCAAGAATACATTCAAGCATGTATAACAAGTCAACTCATGAAACATTTAGACAACTCATTATATATGCATATTTAACATGAGGAACACAATCATGAAAACTCATTTTCTCAAATGAACATAAATTCCATTAAAACATTCATATCATAAGGAGATAATGGAAACTCATTTTCACACATGACTCCAAAACATGAAACAAGCTACAAGGAACTCTTGGTCTCAAGCTTGAATAGGAATAAAAGAACGTGACAAGGATATCAAAAATCACCACAACCTACTATTCAACATACCATCCCCCACTTAGGAGAAATTACAACTAAGGCTAACATGAAAACAACATAGGAACCTCAACAAGACATTCATTACCATAAGGAACCATCAACATACCGGAGCTTTTAAACTAGAAAGGTCCTCATTAAGCAACTCTTGCTCACAACAACTTTACCAACACAACTCAAGGTCCCATATGAGTCTACCACACTGGGCCTAAACACCTCAAACTCACTACACCTCATAAGGTGAGAATCAAGCAAGCCTAACTCATGAACATCAATGACACTCAACCAACTTGCCATTTAAGCACATTATTTCCCCCCCCCCCCCCCATAGGGGTAAGCCTATATCACTTTCTTTAATTCTAATGTCGGATCAAGACATCACTAAACCTTCACACTCATCACACAAGGTGATTCTAAACCAAGGCAAATTACACTTACACCCTCATTTAAGGAGTCTACTCAGTCAACACATCAACACATTTATAAAACACTTCATTCCTCAAATCTTTCAACTTACCTCCAAATTTATCATAACTTTCTACCAACAACACACATAACCATAAAGCAACC